ATGAAGTGATCACAGATTGGGATGGAAGGTGACAGGGAAAGTAGAAAGCAGGAAGACAGGGGGGAAATCAGCAGAGCCCATGGAATTGTACTAAACACTTTGAAAACACATGAGTACAAGCAGGTTATTAAATTGACTAAGAAGCAAACAAGAACCCTACGTGACTTTAAAGAAAAATATTTACAAACCCTTGAATCCGGTGCAGTAAAATGGAAGATCATTGTTCCTTCATATTATATGAGGGTATAAAATTTTTTATCTGGTCCTTTACAGCGGTTATACCATGTGCATGGAAAATGATTAATTTTATAATATTCAGAAAAAGGCAGGGAAAGGAAAGTAATGATCCAGCTATATTAATATTATTTAGTTTTAATAATTAGGTATCACAAAAACTTTAATGTAGCAGAAGCAGAAAAGTCACTCTTTCTCTTCTTACTCTGAAAAAACATTTCCATCTTGTCTTACACTGCTGAGTTTAGTATTTTTGTTGACTGCAGCCTTCCTGCCAAACTTGCACTGCTTTTTTATTAGTATTTATTTTTGCTTCTCCTTCTACTTCTACTTCTTTCCAGCCAAGAAGTTCTTTTATTAGTATTTATTTTTGCTTCTCCTTCTGCTTCTTTCCAGCCAAGAAGTTAATAAAGAATTCAGAAAGTTATTTTTTAAAATTCAAAAAAACCCACCAGGTTTATATCAAAATCACTATCAGCTCCTGTGGTACAAAAAATTTTCAGATTGTGTCATTAGCACATCATAAGATTTCACTAGGTCCTGGACATGCTCCCAGTGGGAGGCAGGTTCAAAAATCCAGAGCAGAAGGGGAAATAGATAGTGGAAATTTATCCAAATTATCTGCTGGCACTTCTGTGGTGATGAGGGAAGTAGATTGCAATGAGAAAGATACTGGACAGGGATTACAGAGAGTAGTACAAGGCTGATGTACTAATGTACACAATTAATGTACTCATTCTCAAATTATCCCCACTCACCATTAGCAACTTTACTTTTCTCAGGAAATAACTTCAAAGCTTTCTATAAAATGGAAAGATACTAATGATCCACTTCTGATTGTCAGTGAAGAGATGAAGGCTTTAACATCAGAAAAATGAAATTTTTGTGTCTCTATCTGATCCTGAAGAAATCTCTGGACTAGATGTCTTGGCCTCGTTGACCTATGCTCAGCAAAGCTATGTTGTTGTAGGACCTGAAAACAGTTTTAAGCCACCTTTAAACTGATTCTACTTTTCCCTGATAGAAGGTCAGAGCCAGCTATAGTCAGTGTTGGAATTGAAGCCACACTGTCCAAGGCTTTGCACTTTGCAGCCAGCCATTCTTTGTGGCTATGCATAATGCTGAGTTGTCAGACCCAATTAGGGTGACCAGTCACACCCCAAGGGCAACCCAACACTAGGACACCACTCAGAGACTAGATCCATAATTTTCCTGAGTTGTTTCATGGTATCAGCCCAAGGATTTTGCCCTACATTTGTTGTTACAGTTCTTGATGCTGCACTTGGAATAACAAAACTTGAATGGATACATTTGATTTAGATTTAAACTACTTGATCCAGGTAATGACATCAGTATAGCTGCAGCATCTACATGGGATATCCATTACATAGGATGCAGGTAACATTAGTCATTGGTACCTGACATTTTTGGTTATAAACTGGAGTGTATATGCTTGCACAAGCTGGGACTGCATCTTTGAAAGCAATATAGCATGCTCAACCAGGTTTCCCAGAACATGCCCATACATTTGAATGTCTTGCAAAATAGATCAAAGGAGTGACCTTACCTTTTCAGCATACACTTCTTTCTGTGCCAAATGCAAAGCTCCTTCAATGCTGACTTCTTTATTTTTCACCATGTTCATAATTTTGAGGATTTTTTCCTGGCTTAACTGGAAAAAAAAGTCAATCAAATGTTTTTAAAGACTGTTTTTTCATCTGGCTATTGAGGATCCAGAGTGCTTGTGACAGTTACAGCTACAGTATATGCCATAAAATTAAAACTTAATTCATATTTTATGTTCTATCGACAGCCTGCCCAGCAAATATAATCTCCCTTTGAAACCTGGTGAGAGTCCACAAGATATCAAATATACAGGGGCTTTTACAATTTTAGAAGGTGGGGTGGTAATATCTGGAGATAGAACTGCCAGGAGGAAATCTCCTTTCATTAGAAAATCTGGCAAGAAGTGAAAACATCAATTTTGCATGCTTGCCTATGTCTTACCCTTAGCGTAAAGTACTGCATATAGACAACATGAAAGCAAAATCAGGATCATTCGACATTTTCAGGGTGAAGGGGGGAAAAATTTATATTGGTACTAGCAGGTACAGCTGTCACGTGAACTTACCTAAATATGTTAACAAGTTGGCATTACATTTCCTCTTTCTTTCACCAAAAAAGGAGATTGAACTGTCAATAATTTTAAACACAAATTTATGTCGCTCTTAGATGAACCAGGTGGAGATTGTAAAGTCAAACAGGAGTCAAGCAAGGAAGAAAAGGCAAGAAGAGTCACCCAGAACTAGAGCTGCTCACACTGTTGGTAAAGCTCCTTCGCAGATTTTGTAGAAGGAATAAGCAACCTCCATTTGAGACAGGCTAAAGAGTTCCCTCGTGATATCCATTCCTCAACAGTGGCAGAATTGGGAATTTGGAAGGAATGTGTAGGTTTTACCCCCAGAGCTCAGGAATTTGGGATTTTTTTTAATCCAGTAGCTCAGCTACAACATGCAACTAGCTGCAATATAGAATGTTTCCTGCTCCTCTGGAGAATGACCTCACCACCAGGAGGTAACTTACTACAGGAAAGTCTTTCTTTCAAATCATTCTTTTCAAACTGTTCCACGTGGGCATCCAGGCAAAGAGCTCTCCCCAGGAGCATTGCCCAGGCTGTGCAGGAGCAAGGGAAAGGGCAGGATTGTTGTTTCAGGGAACAGGAAGGGGCCTCCCCTGCACCCCTATGGCTGGAGCTGCTGGGAAATTAATGTATTCAGAGCAAGGCAGCTCAAAGCATCTCAGCATTGCAAGCAAACCTGAATTTGGCTACCCAAGGACAAGGCACCAAGACCTGGAGTGGGTTTTGCTGTTCCTGCCATAGGGAAAACAGCAGCAAAGAGCTGAAGATGGGTAGCCCTAGAGAGACAGGACTCCTGCCCGGGAGGGGAAGGGTGGGTAGAAATCAGTGCTCCTGAGAGCTGCCAATTCTGCCGCCTGAGACTCACAATTGCTACCCTCAGCAGCAGCCACCAAGCTGCTCTCCAGACCTCTGGGGCAGGCAGAGCAGGCTGCAGCTGCTTTGCCACCCCCAGCACCTTCCTGTCCTACCAGCCACTTGCTTTACCTGCGCCCACAGCTCTCCGCAGATATAGCAGCTTCTCTGCTAAAAACCTCAGCAACACAGCCTTGCAGCAGAACCAACATCCTCTCTGCCCATCCAAGCACCACAGTCACCTGGCACAAATCTGATGAGCAACATAAAAATAACCAGTCACACCACAGAGGTCCAGGACTAGTAAATCCACAGGTTCTCTCTTTTTCTGAGCCACATTACACCAAACACACTTTAATTCACCAAATTTCTAACATCTCGGACAGTTTCTGATCACCAGACACATTTTATGTTTTTATAGCCTACAAAAAAAAAAAAAAAAAACTGGGAGCAAAAGAAGAAATATTTTGTTTTCAAAACCTTGGAATTTTCAATGCTAATATAAAGGTAACTTATGGCATAGCTCCCAGCTGCAAGTAGTAATGTGGACAGTGAGGAAGGAATGAAAGCAGTCTGATAATTCATTCACACTTGCTGAGGCACAGAAGGTTCCTACAATGACCTCCACATTCTGTATCTAAATTTTAAATGGCCATATATTTACACCACACACACACTGTATATGATTAGATCTTAACAAGATAATTCCCCACTGAACAAGCTCTGTGTAAGCAAACAAGAATATGGATATAGTTGAATTGAAAAATATAGTTTCCTTAAGGCTCAGTTCTGCTGGCTTTAAAGTGCAAGATCCTATTTATACAGGATAGCAATTCTTGACAGGAAGTTGGATAGTATTTTTGTAACTGTTAGGCCCCTTTGCATGGAGAATGGTTCAAAGATTTTGCAGAAGGTTGACAATGATAACATAAAGATAACCTCATAACCTTATGTCAAAGCCCCAGTCTGATTAACATAAAGAGAAGTATTTCTTTTCTTCGCTTCAGTACACAAATAATTAAATGAACAAGCTCAGTTCTCATTTGAATCTCATGGTGTTTTCCAGCTACACAATATATCGTGTGCATCTGCAGGGATGCTTCCTAAGAGTGGCCAAGAAAACAAGTTTCAACTTGAAAAATATGGAGCTTTAGATTTTTTTTTTTTCCTAGGATATAGGTGATTTGAGTCCCCACCCCTGTTCTCGTGCAAATAGGGTCCATACTCTCAGTACCCCAAGCACTGGGTATTATAAGGTTTGTCTTTCAGGCCAAACATTCTATCTAGGACTAAGAAACGTTGCCATACCTCTACCAAAACCAAGATATTTTCATGTAATTGACTGTGTTTCTTTTTTACCTGGCTGAAAATTTTCAAACGCGTGGGTTTGGAATTTTTTTTAAATTTAAAAAAAAAAAAAAAGCAGAAGTTAATGCAGTTTTGGCTCTATGGAGTATTGAACTCTTCATTCTGCTTAACTTCACCAAAGTCTCCTTTAGACTAGAATTAAATTCTGCCCAAGACACAAAAACAACAGGGAACATCTCTTAATTTGCTTAATAATGTATGAAGAAAAATGTTTGCAAAAGAGAAGCAAATCATTTTCTATACTGCAAATTCAGGAAGGTTACTAAGTTAAGACTACTGACAGTTAATGCATTCCCCAGAGAGCACACAAAAGACAGTGCTTGGTACAAGTTATTTTTAACAACACCCTGTTGTTTTAATGTCTCTGTTAACTCTCTCTCTCTGCTCATCTGTAAGCAGGAGTGAAAAATTTCAAAAGACAAGAGAAGAAAAAAAGGCACTTTTCAGCTTATGGGAACTGTCAAAATTATTTGTCAGAAGTCTGTCTGGCTCGCTTAGATTTTTGACAGCCACACGTTAGCATGGTATTTTTACTTGCAAACAAGATTCGAGTATTATGTCCTGACCTTTATCATTTTGTACCTGTGGGGCTTTTCTCTTAACACATCACAATTTTTGTAATGCTCATTCTTGTGTTTGTTTTGGGTTTTTTTTCTTAAAAAGAAACAATTTTTGTCATATTATCCACTGAAATGCCACTAAGTCAGATCGTGTTATATTGCCTAATAGAATGTGACTGGTGCAACCAAACAGAATGTTTTATACAAGACTGGATAACAAAACTTAGGAAAAAATTAAATGCTTTTATTATGAAGCATGCACATTAAGGAAATACATGAGATTACATTAATAATGCATTCATTTACCTGCCAGGTTAAAGAAGCTTGTTTCATACAGATTAAATTTTCATCACCCACCCAAAATTCAGTATAGCCACGTAAGTGATTTGAAAGAAAAATCAATGCTCACAATTGAAGGAAGAACATGGGGCTCCAGGCATTCTCCATATATCCATTACTCTGCAGGGTGAGGTTTTTATATTTTTGGCCTAGACATGGTATAAAATGTGTTTAACGGTGAGGTATGAGATTTCTGGCTTATTCTTGGGCAGCTGCCAATGCAGTACTCTACATGACCCTTTCCAGAGCTTCCTGCCACACCCTGTTTACCCAGCACAGTCTCATATGACGCCCAGAGAGGTGTGGAATGTTTTGCACATAGCCTTCATGCTGTGGAAATATTACTCTAATGACTCCAGAAACATTCCCAGACTTTCTGAGCATCAACCAAGAAAGAGAGGTTAAAGCCACATCATCCAAGCCATTTCCAGTCGATTGAGCAAAGCAGCAGAAGGCACGAAGAACACAGGTAACTGTTCAAGGATAAGACAGGCTAATGTCTTCCTGTGTCTCTTCTTCCTGGCTCTCAGCCTCTAATACACACTGGCTCACATTCCCCAATTGACCACAGGATTGCTGTGACTCCTGTGCAGCCAAAGGAGATACTCAGGCTTCTTTAGGTGGCAATTAACTGCATGTAAGACCTATCTCATTACCTGAAGCCTCTTTCTCTCCTTTACCTACAGAGGAATTTGAGCTATGTGGCTTTTGCACAGCTTATTCTTATTCTGTGGACCATCTTCCCTGAATCATAACAATATGACAGCAATCTAATGCAAAAAGACTCCTGGAATGTGTAAACATACACCCATGGAGATGTAGAGCAAGAAATCTGGCTGTCGATCAACTACACGCATGATCTCAATTATTACAAACACTGGCATGATTCAGTGAGACATTTCAGGTTTACTTAGGTGAAGATCATAGCTAGTGTGCACCAAGCTCTATCATTTCCTGTGACAACAAAACCAAGTCATGCAGAAATCCTGCTCCCTGTAAAAATGAGAAATTTTTATTCAAGTCTAGTTAAGCTTTTTACTGTCAAGCATTCCTTACATTTGTCCTTATTAAACATTAACAGTGTTAAACATTCTCATCTGCTGCAAGGAGTAAGAGACAAACCAGCTCCTGGCAGCCATGGGACCCAGAAGGGAAGGCTGGACCAAGAGGGCTTCTTCCTCCTCCTCTGCACTCCACAATAGCATCTCCCTTTAAGTACTGCTAAGATCAGTGCTCCAAGGGACAAGGGGGCTCCATCCAAGAGGGAAGAGCCAAGTAGCAGCTACATATTGTTTTACAGAAATCTCATTAATTTCTGGGCATAAATCTGACTGAATGCTACTGTTGTCCACACAAAAAGAAATATCCTGTTTTAACATATATACCTGATAGTTTTTATCCAGCATAGGGTCATGTTTTTATTTATTTTGAAGTCCAGTTTTTTAAATACATTTTTTAATAATAGAAGATTTTGCTTTCTACCCAGAACAGCAGGAAAAAGCGACTTTAAGGTAAAGCCTTCTGGGGATTTTCTGTTGACTCAGTGCCTGCCAGCTACAGTGCAAAACAGTTTCTGTAAATCAAGTACAGTGTAGAAGCTTAAAAATAAGTGCCAGGACATAATGCAGCGATTGACCTGTGATGAAATTTCAAGTAGCAACTTCCTTTTCCAAGCTGTGCTTTTAAAGAAAACACTTTTTTTTTGGTTGTTGTTTTTTGGGTTTGCTTGTTTGTTTTTTTTTAAATCAGAGGCACTGGCTTAGTTTAGTATAGATATTTGACTTCCTCACAATATTATGCTGAACTCAACTGCGCTTGCATGTTGAACATGTCTTTTAAGTGATTTAAAGACAGTGGACACAATCTGGGTTGCCTTAAAAGTTCCTGTCTGCTGTTATCAACTTTCATCTCTTAACATATTCACTTCTACCAGGTTTGAACTTGGCCCAAAGGTGTACTGAGTGCTCCCATATATTTACAGGAGAGGGGTTGTTTTCTATGATTGGGGTATCTGAAAAGCCTTCACTTGTAATTTACATGAAATATCAATACAGATGACTGATGTGATATTTTTCTGTGGCAATACCATCTTTTGTAGCCAGTCATAGAGACAGACTAATATTATTTGTCAAACAGAGCTGCTATTCATCAAATAAATTATCCATCTGTAATAATGTTTTGCATTATTTGTTCAGATCTTTATCTGGCTGAATAATATATGTCAACATTTATTCAAAGAAGAAGGTATTCATCAAACAGAAGCTTGGTTTCCTTGAAAACACTGGAAATGCTGCCACTTTCAGTAGGAGCCCAAAGGTGTTTTATTATAATTTGTTTTGTTATTGGTATAAGAGTATATAGTGGTTAAGTACAACGGCAAAAACTCAAAGAGCTAGTCTGAAAAATATTTAGGAACTTAAAATACAAACTGGTGCCTAGTGACATGTATATAGTTCAGCATAAAATGCAATACTTCCAGTTTTGAAGGTATCACCATATTGAGGAATCTCAATGTCTAAACATTTCTTAAAGATCCCTCTGAAAAACTGACAATTTATAGGTCTCACATGAAGCAATTACTTTAGAGTTTCTCTCGATCATCACTTGACAGACCAGCATGTTCTCAGCAGGACCCTCCTGCTCCAACAGCACTTGGAACTCGTCAGGAAATGACACTCACAAAGTAATTACCAGAGTTCCACCGTGAAAATTCAAAGGATAAATTGTGCAGTGTTGCACAGGAGACTAACTTCATTTTGTACTATTCAGTGTTTTCATTAATTATTTGGTGATGGGCTAGAGATTTTGTTTATTAAATTTGCAGTCTTTGACATGAAGGTGGAAAGAACTGCAAGCAGGTTGCAAGGGGGATTCAAGTTCAAAACAAGCTTGACAAATGAGAGAAGCAATAATATACAAATCAA